TGCGTGAAATAAAAAAAGATGATGGTCTCGTCATCAAACCATAACGGAATTAGTCACACCCGCCGTGCCCTCAGCTGATATTTGCCCGACATCGTTCTGATTCACTAGGATTGGTGGTCTGTGCCCCGCTGGATGTATGCCCTTGCTACGTGCCTCAGTTTGAGCACCAAGAGTAGCTTACCTTCGAGAGCCGTGAGTGCCATGAAACACTCAGACACTCTTTGGCTATCGGGTGCAGGCAGTGAAAACACTCTGAACGCGCTGCCGCCGCTACCGCGGCGAGGTTCGGGATGGCCGCGGTTGAGCTCCCCGACTCTCCGCTGTCATTGGCTTCCGCGGTGACAAGCGGCAGCGGCGGCGGGCGGGAGGTCGTTGGCGGAGGCGTCACCGGTGGCCGTGACAGCGGTGTCGGCGGGTACTGGAGCGTGGACGGGCCCGGCGGGAGGCTGGTGGAGGAGTCTCCGTCCAGGGCGAAGGAGCGCGCTGCTCGGAGATCGCTGATGCGCGAGGCCGATACTCTGGGTGAGGCTGTGTGTTGTGGTCTTGACCGCGACCGCGGTGACAGGCTGACGGCGGCCGGGCGGGTGTTGGTCGGCTTCACCCGCCCTCTTGTCCGCGAACACCTCTTGGGTGTGCTTGATTTGGCGCAGGATATATCGTATGTGCGAGGTCGCCGTGCTGTGATTTTGCTGCGCCAGGAGTGTAGCGTGCGAGTAGTTTTTTGCCGTTTCGTGTGGCTTCGAGAACTCTTGCGTGCGCCTGAATTGGCGCAGGACAAATGCTCGAGGTCGCCGTAATTTGTTTGTGCGCCAAAATAGTGTAGTAGGCGAGTAGCGACTGCTGTTGTGACGTGGCGTGCGGATCTGACGATTTGACGACGCTGTTCGAATTCCCCGTTGTGGGGGTGGAAACTGTGCCCGTGCGAACAAGCCCCGCTAGCGAATCCGCCCTCAAATGTCCCAGACAACCCACCTACCCTCTCTGAGGAAGGAGGCCCCTCCATGTACACGGTGGACGCATCGCGTTCCTCTGTTTGCGTCCTTGGTCCTTTTCCTCCTCCTCCGCCATCCTTCAGGCATAGCGTCCGTGTTTTCCGGAGAGGCAACGGCAAGAAGCTTGTCTTCGGGTACCGTTGGAGGCGTTGATGGCGCCGCAGCTGACGGTATCGACGGCGGAAGCCTCGGCGGAATAGCGGCGGCGGCGGCGGCGGCGGCGGCGGCGCACCATCCTCTCCGACGCAGCTCGCTGCTGTCAGGGGAGCGCGCCGTGTTCAAGCCTGTGGTGAACCGCATCGGATCTCTGGAGCTCCAGGTGACGACAGCAGAGCTGTGCGGTGTCAATGCCCTGCGGTGTCGAGGTTGTCTTCGAGAAAGTGGCCACGCTGAAGTGCTACCGCCTGCCCCATGTGTGCCCCCCGATGATCCCCCCCCCCCCCTCCTCTGCTTCGCCCTGGGACAGGAAAATATTGCCCGAGCACGGTCCGGATCGCAATTACTTTTTTTTTTGTGAAAACCTGGTCGAAGATGATCAGTTAGCATGGTGTTCAGCATCTTTTCTTCGTCATGCAATATTTACTCGCGGGCTCGCGCTTTGCCGGGACGTTCGTTTTCTTTGTTTTTGCGACCGGACGTTGTTGTCCATGTCGGCATTTTTCGTTGCCTGTTTGCCTGTTTTTTTAAGGTTCTCGCACACCATGGCGCTGTCGAGAACAACGTGGTCAAGGTGGACCTCCCCGTCATACAGGTAATAGCTGCAGGGCACGTCAGTCGTTTGTTAACGGCAGGCACAGGTGCCGAAGGCAAAAAAGGGAGGAAGACTTCATGTACTCCATTCAGTTTAACGCAACATTGCTATTTGAAAAGGGGCGAAGCTGGATGAAGTATAGGCCAAGATAGTTTACGGGGGGGATGCAGGTTGGACATGTGGTGCGGATTGGTTTTTGCAGGTGTTAGGGAAGCGATTTTCCCGGCACTGCTTTTTTTTGTTCCTGCGCTTTCGTTGTGCGCAGCGAAAATAGCCGCACTGACGAATGCTTTATTTTTGGCGCATGAAATGTGTCCGCAAGTTGTGTCCCGCCGCATTCCTTCGAACGGCGTCCATTGATTACTACAAGGTTTAATTTGTGTTTCTCCCGGAGGGGGCAGGTTCTTTTTTCTTTTCTGTCATTGGCATAGCAGCCACAGTTCGTACGTTGTTGGTAGATTTGTGTCTGACCTTACAGCAGTAGTGTGGGGATTCTCAGCTGGGCACTACATCCCGCCTCCCCCCGCCGCCAACTACATGCATGACGAAAACATAAGGCCGCCCTCAACAGCCTTCAGCTCCGACTAGTCGCCACGGTCGTGTCCGAGGTCCTCGCCAGCCCTCTCCCACCGGTAGTGCTCGCCATGCTCAAGGCCACCGGGAGTAGCACGGGGGCGACGGGGAATCAAGACTGGGGGAGTGGCCGGCGGAGTTCCGCCGCAGATGGCGGTGGCGTAGCGGAGGGGATGGAGGACGATCCGGTGGCCCCGGGGAGTAGCCACGGCAGGAATTGGCGGGGCATGAGAGCGCGGGCGTTCATGCGCCCGCCTCCCACGGTGGCGAGCTCGTGGGCAACGCAGCGCCAGGCCGACTGGGAAACCTTGGAGGTGTGTGTGTGTAAGGGGGGATGTAGCACATATAGTCACGCATGTGGGCAAGCGTTAGCTTTTGGGGCAGGGGTGTGCGTGGTTGCAGTTGTGTGTGGCGGTTTTGTAGTCGGGAATAGCTGTCCTCGCTTGTTGACGTGGAGGGCAAAGAAGGCTGGCCAGAAGACTTGGTTCTGGCTATCACCAAATGTCCGAACGTTTCGTAATACCCATGGTTTCGTTGAAGCTCGCGCACGTTTCGTGTTTGCTGGCCGTGGCGTGATGTTAGCCTTGCGCAACCATTCACCCGTGTGTGCCTGAGGAGCTGCTTAGTTGGAAGTTTCTGCACCCCGCCTTCCGTTTTCTGCCCCGCTACTACGTCGCTACTACGTCGCTACTGAGGTGCGGGTCTGTTTGTCTGATACGTCAATAACAACAAATATTGCGGGAGTGCAAGGCAACCAAGACAACATAAGTCTCAAGGAGGCGACCACAAGCACCCCCCCCCCCCCCCCCCCCCCCCCC